CTGAATACTTATGTAAATGTAATATTTCAGTTTTTTTTATTTAATCAATTTGCAAAAATTTCGAAAAACCTGTTTTTGCTTTGTCATTATGGGGTATTGTTTGTAGATTGATGAGGGACATTTTTTTTTTTTATAAGGCTGTAACGTAACAACATGTGGAAAAAGTCAAGGGGTCTTAATACTTTCCGAATGCTAAAATGAGAATAGGTCTGTCCATGATAAGACGTTGCTTTGCTTTCTTGATAGCTCAGTCGCCCAGACAGGTCCTACAAGCCCTAGTTTTGTCGCACCTGGACTACTTTTTATTTATTTTAATTGAACCTTTATTTAACTAGGCAAGTCAAATAAGAACAAATTCTTATTTACAATGACGGCCTCCCATGAGGCAAAAGGCCTCCTGCGGGGACTACTGCCCAGTTCTGTGGTCATGTGCGGCGAAGAGGGACGTAAGTAAATTGCAGTTGGTCCAGAACAGAGCAGCACGTATTGCACTTAGATGTACACAGAGAGCGAATGTCAGTATCATGCATGTCAATCTCTCCTGGCTCAAAGTTGAGGAGAGATTGACTGCATCACTATTGGTCTTTGTGCAAAATGTTGATGTGTTGAAGGTACCGAACTGTCTGTTCAAGCAGTTGTCACACAGTTCGGACACTCAACGGTACCACACAAGACATGCAATCAGAGGTCTCTTCACAGTCCCCATGTCCAGTACAGAGGCTGGGAAATACAGTATTAAATAGATCCATGAATACATGGAACTCCCTGCCACCCCAGGTAACTCACGCTAGCAATAAAACCAGATTAAAAAACCAGATAAAAGAACACTTTACGGCACAACAGGGACTGTGAAGAGACAGAGATTTTGATATATTTTGTATTGTATTATGTATTGTATTATGTAGGAACGGCTTATAGGGCAGGTGCCATCTCCTGTTTCTGAAGCGTGAGGCAGAAACAGGAGATTATGTAGTATTATGTGGTATTATGTAGTATTGTGTATGTTATTATTTTTGGCATTTTATTTGGTGTGTTTTGTTTGGACCCCAGGTAGAGTTATTCATTTTATTTATTTATTGTGACTTGCAGGTCTGATGTGGCCCATGAGGCAGGATTCTCAGATCACAATGTGGAGGAGAACTAGGCCATAACTAAAGGCCTTCTGAAGCGTATGGTATGTGGTCATAAAGGGTTAACTTTTAATTATTTTTTATTTTTTATTAGGATCCCCAATTAAAAAGTCCTAATAAATAAATAAAATACAATAAATAATAATAGGGGATCCTAATATATAAATAAATAATAATTAAAAGTAAACCCTTTATGACCACTTACTATACATGTCATAAGGCCTTTAGTTATGGCCTAGTTATCCACAGCCTTTAGTTATGGTCTAGTTATCCTCAGGCTTTAGTAATGGTCTAGTTATCCTCAGGCTTTAGTTATGGCCTAGTTATCCACAGCCTTTAGTTATGGCCTAGTTATCCTCAGGCTTTAGTAATGGCCTAGTTATCCTCAGCCTTTAGTTATGGTCTAGTTATCCTCAGCCTTTAGTTATGGTCTAGTTATCCTCAGGCTTTAGTAATGGCCTAGTTATCCTCAGGCTTTAGTAATGGTCTAGTTATCCTCAGGCTTTAGTTATGGTCTAGTTATCCTCAGGCTTTAGTTATGGCCTAGTTATCCTCAGGCTTTAGTAATGGCCTAGTTATCCTCAGGCTTTAGTTATGGCCTAGTTATCCACAGCCTTTAGTTATGGCCTAGTTATCCTCAGGCTTTAGTTATGGCCTAGTTATCCACAGCCTTTAGTTATGGCCTAGTTATCCTCAGGCTTTAGTAATGGCCTAGTTATCCTCAGCCTTTAGTTATGGTCTAGTTATCCTCAGGCTTTAGTTATGGCCTAGTTATCCTCAGGCTTTAGTAATGGTCTAGTTATCCACAGCCTTTAGTTATGGTCTAGTTATCCTCAGGCTTTAGTTATGGCCTAGTTATCCTCAGGCTTTAGTTATGGCCTAGTTATCCTCAGGCTTTAGTTATGGCCTAGTTATCCACAGCCTTTAGTAATGGCCTAGTTATCCTCAGCCTTTAGTTATGGCCTAGTTATCCACAGCCTTTAGTTATGGCCTAGTTATCCTCAGCCTTTAGTTATGGCCTAGTTATCCTCAGGCTTTAGTTATGGCCTAGTTATCCTCAGGCTTTAGTTATGGCCTAGTTATCCTCAGGCTTTAGTTATGGCCTAGTTATCCTCAGCCTTTAGTTATGGCCTAGTTGGGTTATTGGTAAGCATTCAAATAAGCTGCCTCAATATTTGCCATAGGTGGTAATATCTCTGTAGGAGCTGATCTGTCATTAGTATTGTGAAAAAATTATAATGTTAAGGAAAGATTTGAATGGAGAAAGATGATCCAAGAGCAGCGCTCCCTTTATTTCGATCTTATCAGTATCGATCGACACATGCTCCAACGACGCACTTAGCGACCGTTCTCCCTGAGTGGTGTTTTAGGAAATGCATGTTACATCTTTGGCCGTTGTAGGAAAGATGCATCGTTAAAACACTCGTAAGCCATCGCTATCGGGAAACCGGGCACTTTTCAGTTGTGCTGAAATATAGGTAAGGTGACAGACATTCCTAACACTGATCTGAATAAAAGGCATTGAAAGTCACATAAATTTCTAATGACTAGATGCACTCTAAACAGGCCTATGGGAAAGTAAACGCTAGTGGTTCAAATCTGAACACTAAGGAGATATACAGTGGGAAAAATAAGTATTTAGTCAGCCACCAATTGTGCAAGTTCTCCCACTTAAAAAGATGAGAGAGGCCTGTAATTTTCATCATAGGTACACGTCAACTATGACAGACAAATTGAGAAAAAAAATCCAGAAAATCACATTGTAGGATTTTTAATGAATTTATTTGCAAATTATGGTGGAAAATAAGTATTTGGTCACCTACAAACAAGCAAGATTTCTGGCTCTCACAGCTCCTCTGTCCTCCACTCGTTACCTGTATTAATGGCACCTGTTTGAACTTGTTAACAGTATAAAAGACACCTGTCCACAACCTCAAACAGTCACACTCCAAACTCCACTATGGCCAAGACCAAAGAGCTGTCAAAGGACACCAGAAACAAAATTGTAGACCTGCACCAGGCTGGGAACACTGAATCTGCAATAGGTAAGCAGCTTGGTTTGAAGAAATCAACTGTGGGAGCAATTATTAGGAAATGGAAGACATACAAGACCACTGATAATCTCCCTCGATCTGGGACTCCACGCAAGATCTCACCCTGTGGGGTCAAAATGATCACAAGAACGGTGAGCAAAAATCCCAGAACCACACAGGGGGACCTAGTGAATGACCTGCAGAGAGCTGGGACCAAAGTAACAAAGCCTACCATCAGTAACACACTATGCCGCCAGGGACTCAAATCCTGCAGTGCCAGACGTGTCCCCCTGCTTAAGCCAGTACATGTCCAGGCCTGTCTGAAGTTTGCTAGAGTGCATTTGGATGATCCAGAAGAGGATTGGGAGAATGTCATATGGTCAGATGAAACCAAAATATAACTTTTTGGTAAAAAATCAACTCGTCGTGTTTGGAGGACAAAGAATGCTGAGTTGCATCCAAAGAACACTATACCTACTGTGAAGCATGGGGGTGGAAACATCATGCTTTGGGGCTGTTTTTCTGCAAAGGGACCAGGACGACTGATCCGTGTAAAGGAAAGAATGAATGGGGCCATGTATCGTGAGATTTTGAGTGAAAACCTCCTTCCATCAGCAAGGGCATTGAAGATGAAACGTGGCTGGGTCTTTCAGCATGTCAATGATCCCAAACACACCGCACGGGCAACGAAGGAGTGGCTTCGTAAGAAGCATTTCAAGGTCCTGGAGTGGCCATGCCAGTCTCCAGATCTCAACCCCATAGAACATCTTTGGAGGGAGTTGAAAGTCTGTGTTGCCCAGCGACAGCCCCAAAACATCACTGCTCTAGAGGAGATCTGCATGGAGGAATGGGCCAAAATACCAGCAACAGTGTGTGAAAACCTTGTGAAGACTTACAGAAAACGTTTGACCTGTGTCATTGCCAACAAAGGGTATATAACAAAGTATTGAGAAACTTTTGTTATTGACCAAATACTTATTTTCCACCATAATTTGCAAATAAATTCATTAAAAATCCTACAATGTGATTTTCTGGATTTTTTTCCCTCATTTTGTCTGTCATAGTTGACGTGTACCTATGATGAAAATTACAGGCCTCTCTCATCTTTTTAAGTGGGAGAACTTGCACAATTGGTGGCTGACTAAATACTTTTTTTCCCCACTGTAGGTGTTCTCCTGGTTGGAAACAGACTGGAAAAAGCTGACTGTCATGTTTAATCTTGCATTCTAAATGCCTGTGTTTAAGATGAAAACATTTATTGGCAAATCTAAATGCCTTATGGTTAAGTTTTAAACACTGACATTTAGTTTATAACCGTGTCATATGTTTTATGGTTTTACAGTGTATGTGGCAAAGGTTAAACTCATTTCTCAGTTCAAAGTGTATATTGTTCAGTTACTGTTTTAGTGAGATGTTAATGATGTTCTTATCATGGAGACGGTGTGAAAAAGGTGATAGCGTGGGGCGATCACAGTTGATCGTGGGTGAAAGGGAAGCTGGTGAGATATATTTGTTACATATATTCATGGCTCGTCATTGTGAAGCAAGTTTACCCTTAGCACAGACTGTGGATGGTGTGTTTTCCTTGGAGTCAGGGGGTGTGGAGTTCAATACCACACATGGACAACCCCCAAAATTCTCTACACTACCATCATTGACCATGCAAGTGTGGTCACACACACAAACACATACAAACAAACAAACAAACACACACACACACACACACACACACACACACACACACACAAATATATCGTTGTGTGTTTAGGTGTGTTAGAGTTGGGCTGGAACAAAAGCCAGTACACTGCTGGCCTCCATGACCAGAGTAGAGGCCTACCTGCACAAAGAGAGAGTAGGTCTCATTGTTGACCGTGTGTGAGTGGTAGAACTCTCCATCGTACCACAGGACCTTCCCCATAGGTGAATTCTGCTTGGTCACCGCAAACATCCTCCTCGGGTCACAGCATTCTGAAAGCAGCTTCCTGTAACGAGAGAGGGAGTAGGATGACGTTGTGTCTCGACACTGATCTAATGTCAGTTTAGGGTGTCATCACTTATGCGTGAGGTTAGGATTTGGGGAGGGTAAGCTGATCCTAGATCTGTGGTAAATATGGAAAACCTTTACCCCTGAGCTATAAATAGACAGTCAGAATGAGAAGAGAATTTGTCATTGTGTGTATAGCATGGGTGAAACTCAGACACAGTGTATAAATTGAGACAGTCTCTTTATCTGAATTATAGTTACCAGTCTGGGACTCTGGGCCACATGTCATTTGAGCATTCTCTATTGATGAAATAAACACTCATTGCAGAGTCCGCACCATCAACTATAACTCAGATCAAGAGACAACTGTCTCAATTGATACACTGTGTCCAAGTGTCATGCATGCTATTTTCACACAATGACACATTCATACATGGTTCATACATCCTGTCTGCATCGACAGTAGGCCTACTATGGGGAAGCCTGAGTAGTGTAAATGCATTTGGAATCAATTAGGAGGCGGCGCAGATCTGATAAAAATATAATATTCAATCCAACTGTCAATGGGCGAATTTGAAGCAAGTGTGGAAATGGTAAATGGTAAATGGCGAAAGGCTGGTTGTTGGTGGTTGCCTTGTCCTAGATTCAGCACCACCAATACACTTGCATTTCTGTTTTTCCATGGACACACACAGCTTCGGTGGCGAGGTAACCTTTTCAACTCCAAACGTGCGAAATCATAGAGATCCTATTCAATTATTCTAATTCCCTCTTCGCACCATCATAAAACGCGTCTCTGCGCTTTTCCGTGCAGGTGTCACGTTCTGCGCATTTCCCTAATCTGCTTTTCCTCAGTGCATTATAGCCTACGACTCCTGTCCTATTCTCATGAGTGCGACTAGATACAACAAATAGGCCTACCATCCTGTAACTGTTGTGCCCTGGAGATTCAGCTTAATAGTGATTGATTTTTTTTTCTCCATTTGCATTCCTCTTTTACCATTTAATAAACATGATTATTATTATTATTATTATTATTATTATTATTAGCCTAAGTATTGTCCTGTTATGTACGTAAATAAACTGTAGGAGATGATAGGCTACATGGACACAATCATGTAATAATGTTTTGCTATATCGCAGAATATTCATATTGCTATTCATTATTTATGCAGGCCAAATCGCATAGGCCTAATGTTGTGAGATGAGTGAAAGCCCACCTGAACAGATCGATGTCCGTCTGGTTCCTCTGCCATACTTGTCCCTGCCGCAGCACTTCATCAACTATTTCCTTGTCGCTCCGGGGTCTGTACACTGGGAAAATGTAGAGCCAGCACAGCACGAGCACACACAGAACGGCCCACACCGACAGCTTGCTCCGGTGGCATCTCACCAACATTGTTACAGCTTGTGGTTCACGAATCACAACCCGCCTATTCAAACAAATCTAGTATGGTGAAAAATACGCAAGCTGGCCCTCTCGGTTAGCTATGTGTGAAAGGTTCTATTTCGGGAGTGGAGACGGCATCCTTTCTCATCCAAAAGGCTCGGAGTTTCAATGGAAATGCGCGTTTTTATTATTTCCGGTAGTGCAAGCATCGAATGCCTTGGTTTAGCTCCCAAACTGCCGGTTTTGTTATAAATCCTTGGTTATGTTTTGCAGCATTAAGGGATCCGCTATCCATGCGCCATCTCGGCCGGCGGTAAGCTAGCGGGAACGGGCTTCGCTCTCTGCAGCGGCGGGTTGCTGGAATCCACCACACTCGTCTTGGTGCATCACTGACCCCGCATGCATCAACTAGATGTCGGCCGCTCTTTCCCTACTCAACAGCGGTCTTGTGTGAAATCCCTGCCAGGTTCCCTAGACCCACATCGCCCTTTGCGGTCACTTATTTTGTTCCATCCGACCCGAATGGACCATGCTATCCCTTCCTTATCTCCTCTCTCCTTGTCCTGCTGGATCTTTTTGGAAGCCTTGCAAGTGTACTGTCTTTTGAATCTCTCTTTCTCTCCCCCTCTTCAGCTACTGTAGTTCTACATCCCTCCAACCTCAGGGGTAGACGTAACATAGTAAACGCAGATCCGGGACACTCCAGTATACAGCATGTTACATTTCGTATGGTGCCTATAAAAGTCTACACCCCCTTGACTTTTTAAAAACATTTTGCTGCCTTAAAATGTAATCTAAATGGGATTAAATTAGATTATAGAACATTTTCATAATTGGATATGTCTCCACCCCTAAATTACAGTTTCGATTGTGACAAGTCCCTGGCAATGACAAGCATATCCATAACATGATGTTGCCTCCACAAAACTTGAAAATAGAGAGGGTTTTACTCTGTTGTGTTGTACTGGATTTGACCCAACTCTGTAGTTTTTAATTTAGGCCAAAAAGTGTTGTCTTGCAGTATTACTTAACAGCCTTGTTGCAAAACAGAATGGATAATTTGCAGTGGATTTTTAAACTTGTTTTGCACTTTGTCATACAGGCCAGTAATATGGAGTGAATCCAATGTTGTTTTCAAGTATTGTGGTGGCAGCATCATGTTATGGATATACTTGTCACCGGCAGGGACTGGGGAGTTTGTTAGGATCAAAATAAATATGACAGGAGCAAAGCCCAGCTAAAAAAATAAATAAAAAAAACCCACCTCAGTCTTCTGAAAACTTAACCCTGTCATAGGGTTTTATTTTGCTGCGGGACAATTACACAAATATTTATGCAAAAGACACACCAGAATGGTAGTAATTGCAAAGTAGCTAAAAAGTAGTAATAGTTGCAAAGTTGTCCGTGATGAGATTCAAGCACACAACCTTTGGGTTGCTTTATGCAAACCCATCCACCCTGACCAACCACCCTACTTTAGTTTTTGCCTTAAGTAACCTTCTGTCTTACGTAACCATAACAAACGTAACATATTATCCTAATTTCGATGTCCTGGATTTAACTTTACTATGTTATGTCTAGTCTATGAGACCAGGCTGATCCCTCCACTCCCTCTCTCTTGCAAACCCCTCCACTCCCTCTCTCTTGCAAACCCCTCAACTCCCTCTCTCTTGCAAACCCCCCCCCCCCCCCCCCCCCCCCCCACACACAAAGTGCTTCTTGTGCTGCTGAGTGCTTGAATGAGCATCGCTCCCTGCTGTGAATGGGTGCCAGTGCCAATAGCACGGTCTTGTGCTGCCCTCTGTGGGACTGTTATAATAATATAATATGCAATTTAGCAGACGCTTTTATCCAAAGCGACTTACAGTCATGTGTGCATCTTCTTCTTCTATGATATAATGGCGGTCCACAAACCAGCGTTAAAGGTGCTTGCTGCCACCTTCTGTGCTGGAGTGTGTGGCCAATCACAGTTTACAACATTTCTAAATCCTCCTACCCAACTCAGTACTTCTGAGAAAATAACAAATAACCCTAATAACTTCTAATAGACCCTCCCCCATCCCCAAAATCCCTTCCAACCTCAATGACCCTACACTTCAATCTTTCCCTCTCTTCAACACACTTACAACAACACATGCTCCACCATTTCATCGAATATACACTCCAGACACAAACCATTCACATGTTGTTGTTTTTTGTGGTATTTTACCCCCTTTTTCTCCCCAATTTTCATGGTATAGTTACAGTCTTGTCCCATCGCTGCAACTCCTGTACGGACACCGGAGAGGCGAAGATCGAGAGTCGTGCAGGTTCCGAAACACAACCCAACCGAGCCGCACTGCTTCTTGACACAGTGTCCTCTTAACCCGGATGCCAGTCATACCAACGTGTCGGAGGAAACACCGTACACCTGGCGACCGAGTCAGCGTGCACCCGGCCCGCCACAGGAGTCGCTAGTGCGCGATGGTGGCACAGCTAGCACTGCCTTATACCACTGCGCCACTCGGGAGGCCAAACCATTCACATGCTTGCCAACCAGATGTAATGACAAGTTCAATGTACAATGTCCTAAATGCAATCGAGCAAACACCACCTCTTCCTTCCTAATCTGACCTTTGAATCTTGGTCCACCTGCCTTTCTTTGGAGGGCATATACATTCCAGCCCTTGGGCTCAGAGTCCCTCCCATCTCTTCTGTCACACATCTATCAAAATGGCTCTGATCTGACATGTGGCCTCACCTCTACCCAGTGGAACATTAATATCAATTATAACTTATTTCAAAGCTCTTTTAGCTAACTGGTCTACAACTTAATTCCCTTCCACACCCGAATGTGCTGGGACTCAGCAGAATCTCACTACTACACCCATTCTCTCAATTCTCCATAATAACATCAATACCTCCGATAGTAGGTCACTCCTATTATACCAGATGATAAACTATTCAATGCAGACAGAGAATCTCAGCATAATATAATTGTAACAGGTTGTAGGTGCTCCACCCCTGGAGGGCAACTATTATATATATATTTCATTTTTATCCAGTCGGATAAACACTCCAAACAGCCTACCCGACCGCTCAGAGGCATCCGCATGGTCCTAAAGCACACCGTCGCCTCGTTTTATATTACATTTCAGACATGTCCCCCCCGTCCCCAGTGAAAGTTGTGCCTGTGCCCACTATCTGGGACCTTGGATCCATCTGTAAAAAAGCATATAAACTTTTACCAATGTAATTGTCAACCAGTTTCCCTATATCACTGACTTCTGACTAATCTTTCCTTTTCTCTACCAAGGTTAGATCAACAGTATCTGGGTGGAGGAACAGCCCCTGTGGGTGACTTTTTATTATGGATAGACACTTTATGGTTTTAGCTAATGTTACACCAATCAAAGCAGTTGAGCTTGTAGTGAAGCAAAACTTTAGTGGTCAAAACCATTCATCTTGGGGCGACGGGGGGAGCGGGTTTGCAAAATGCTATCATATCGCCAATTATACCATTGATAAAATGGTCAGATATATATCTTTATTATAGACTAGCTAAAAAAATAAGTGAAAATTGACAAATTATTATAAAGTGGCGCCGCAAAAACATAAGTTTGTACCCCTATTTTTATTTGCTCCATGGCTCAGGTGGCCAAGTGGACACAAGGCTGTTTGGTTCATTTCAGTCACGATGAGAAATAACTTTGCAGCTGTTTCTGATTAATAAACAATGCTATGCTGGTGGGTGGTAACATTAAAATAGGACCGAAACGTAGGCTGAAATTAATTTATATATCATAGGAAAAGACACCGCAGTTCGGATTTGTCACGTCAAGCCCAAATATATCATACTTTGACTAAAACAATGACTTATTGACTTAAGTCATTGTGCAACATCATGGGTTAGCTCTGGCCATCATCTTTCAGCTCGAAAAAGTGGATTTCTACTGTTGTGGGCGTTTAACTGGCTGTGTCTCCCATGGACAACAATGCAATAGCAGCTGGGTGTGGTCTACTTAGTTCATTGACTTTCATTGAACCAGAAAAAACAGTGAGTGGTGTGTCTCGCTACCTCTTCTGTCTCTGACCTAACCCTAACCACAGCACTTTAGTGGTCAGGAAGGCTATGTCACTTGTGATGACTAGCCTCCTGCTATGACTAGTTGCCAACTGCTCAACCGTCTCACCTAGAACCCTCAACTCTGTCATCCGAGGCTACCAACGGCTTTTTCATAATTCATAGACTGTTATAGATAATAGATATTGTGTTTGATGTGTCTACTAGTACAACCAACAATGATGTACTCAAAAACAGTGCATTACATTTGAACTACAAAGACAATGGAGAAATGGTTGTTTGGATTTTAGTTGGACCTTGTGGTAAAATGTTTACGTACACCTTATCTGTGTTGCAGGGTGTCACGCCCTGACTCTGGGGACTCTTATTTGTTGAGTCAGGGTGTGACTTTCTATGTTGTGATGTTCTATGTTGTATTTTCTAGGTTTAGATCTAGTACGTCTAGATCTATGTTGGCCGGTGTGGTTCCCAATCAGAGGCAGCTGTCGCTCGTTGTCTCTGATTGGGGACCACACTTAGGCAGCCTATTGGCACTAGGGGGTTGTGGGATCTTGTTCCGTGTTAGGTATGTTGTTTGTGTACCTTGGACTTCACGTTTCGTTTCTTGTTTTGTCGTTGTGTTTATAAGTCAAATAAACATGTATGCATATCACGCTGCGCCTTGGTCCGTCCCGTCGATGAACGAACGTGACAGAAGATCCCACCAAACGAGGACCAAGCAGCGTGCCCAGGAAGAGCGAATAGCCATGTCACAGGTGGGCAAATTGTGGTCATGGGAGGAGATATTCGCGGGGAAAGGGCCATGGGCGAAGGTAGATGCCCAGGCAGGAGAGGAGCAACGGCAACACAGAGGACGCCAGTCGAGGAGGAAGCCCGAGAGACAGCCCCAATACATTTTTGGGGGTGGGCTAAAAGGGTGGTTGGCGGAGCCTAGCGTTAGAGCAGA